TCAGTCCCAGCCTCTGAAAAAGTGAGACTGGTACTAGACGTTGATGGAACTCAAGTAGAAGACGGAGAATATTTTCGAACACTTCCAAATAATACCGTTTTATTATTGCTTCGACATGGAGAAAGATGGCATCCGCAAGAAGTTGATGTTATTCGTGCGGGTAAAAAAGTTTTTTTTTTTTTTTTTTAAATAATGTAAAAATTTTTGTAAAAAAAAAATGTTTTTTTTTTTGTGCAGCAATCTCTGCGATACCAAAGATAGTGTGTGAAACAATTCACGCACTGGATTTGCACGATGAGACTCCCTCTTGGAAAATTATGGACAACAAGGGTCGAGTCACGGTCGTGCTTCATTGGGATCATCCCAAAGGATCAACAACATCCCAATTGCCAAAAGCTTCGCCTTTGAAAAAACAGCCATCACTTGTAATACAAACTAGTGTGGATAAATCTGGTACGATTATAACGCCAAGTGGGAAAAAAGAAACGTTAATTAACGATGTATATACACCTCCGAGATTTTCGTCCAGTCCTCAGATCACGGTTATTAATCACGATGAGTTACGAAAGAGTTCCTACAATCCTCCTCATCGATTGCAAAAAGGTTCTTCGGCGGATGGCGCCATACACGTTCACACTCCCGAATGTGCGAATCATGGGGGAAATCATCCGATGGCGAGACCCGGAAGTCCCGGTCTCGATGCAATCGATTGCGATTTTCATTGTTGTGCACTTCACGAAGAGGGTAGGAAAATTGCCGTGTGTAAATCAGTCGTGACAAGTCCCATACAGGATGCTCAACTTCAAACATCTCCTCAAATGTCTTCTTTATCGGAGGGTCGGAGAACGGGTATGCCTAAACAACACGTACGGTTTTTAGATGTCGAAGGTGGAGGAATGATGCGAACTTCGCAGGCGGAACACGACTCATCCGAAAGTGAAAACGAAAATACAATTATGGAAGACGAACAAATAACTTCTGAAAAATTTTTACTATTGATAGATCAACTAAGTGTCGAACAAAAAAAACATTTAACGATAAAAGACATTGGTGTTATACTCGAGAGACTATCATCGAAAATTGTTGACGTTGAGAGATTAGATAGAGAATCGGAAAGTGATGATTGTTACAATTGGACAATAAAAGCAACCATCAGAGGAAACGTATTGAGAGAACTGGGAGTTTTGTATAATGGTAATTATTATGCCATCAGCGAACATCCGGGATACAAGGAAGAATTGGAAACAAATCGTGAGGATGTAGAAGACGAAGAAGAAGAAGAAGAGGATAGGCTTTAACGACCGGATATAATTTTTGGTATTAATCGTTTTGATTTTTTTTGTTTTGTTTTTTTTCTGTTTTTTTTTTTAAAAACAAAACAAGTAAAATTTACTTTTGTTAAACAGTGACAATCTTAAACTCTATTAAAAAATTATTAATTTATTTTATTATTATTATTATTCAAATGTTTTCGAAATAAATAACAAATGAAAATTTGAATGCTTTCGGGGAAATTTTATGAATAAGAATTTTTTTGATTTAATAATGGCCTCCTGAACAGGAAAATGGAAATAAAAAATTAATCTATGACAAATAAATAAATAAATAAATATTTTGGAAAATGAAAAATTTTATTATTATTATTATTATTTCGTTTATAATTTTTGCAAACGTAAATGATACGTTCGTCACATAGTTTTTAATTTTATTGGAATCAAATAATAATAATAATAAAAAAAAGTTTATTTAATTAAATTACTAATCGAATGAGTTTTAAATAAATAAAATTATTAATAATAATAATAATAATTTTTTTGTTGTTGTTAAATTCCAAGCTTTTCGTTCTTATAAATTTGTTTTGTTTCGGTTTTTTTTTTTTTTTAAAAACCCAAAATTTTCAAATAATTTATTTATTATTAATTGATTAATAATTTTCTTTTAAAAATAATAAATAAAAAATATTATTATTATTATTATTATTATTAAACTTTAAAACTTTAGGAACAAACAAAAATTTATTAAAAACAATCAATTACCGTGACCGTTTTTTTTTGACCTTTTTGAAAAAAATTTATTTAAATTCAAAAATTTGACCGTTTTTTTTATTGGATAATAATAATAATAATAATAATAATAATATTTTCCCAACCTTCATACATAATAATAATATCAAATTATTTTTCCTTTACTCCCTGATTTTTACCCACCAAAATATTAAAAATAGAAAAAAATTTTATGAAAATGTCCAATTAATAATTAGTAAGAAATAATAATAATAATAATAATAGAAATTAATCGATTTAATTAAAAAATAAATAAATAATAATAATATTAATAATAAATTATTAAAATAGTTAATTTTTTTTTTTTTTTGGAAAAACAAATATTATGTGTGTGATTAATATTTTTATGAATTTCTAAATAAAAAAAAAAAATTTTTTCATTTTTTGTTTTCATTTTTTGGGCTTAAGAATGTATAAAGATATTGTAATTATTAATAATAATAATAAATTAATGGTTTTTGAATTGTTTGATGGAAGGAGGAGAAAAAAATGTTATTTCGAATCGCGTTAAGTTAATAAATAATTAATAAATAAAAATCTATTTAAAAAAAAAAAATATTAAAAAAAATTTTGAATTGTTTGTTGCATTTTGTTGTAAGTTTTTGAAAAAAAAAAAAAAAAAAAACGAATAAATAAAAATAGGAACAAAAAAAATAAATAAAAATTAAATAATAATGATAATGATATATATATATATATATATATATATATATTGTGAAAAAAAACCGTTTGATTATTACATAAATAAATAAATATTTATTTGGCGGATTATGTATGTTGTTGTAGACAATTGTAATGAAATTGATAAAAGATTTTTATTGTAAAAAATAATTTAATAATTCTTTAAAAAAAAAAAAAAAATTTTTTTGTTGTATTCGTAAAACGATCGTTTCACTATTATTATTATTATTATTATTATTTTTAACCCCTCCTCCGAGGCTGGTCCTGGAGATTTGTTTTATCTCAGTTATTAGGTTTAAAATGGTGGTGATCTTGATGATTATTTTTTTTCTTTGTTTATTTATTTTTTAAATAAATAAATCGAAAACGTTTAATAATAATTTATGTACGACATAAAATAAAATAATAATCATATTTTTTTTTTCTTGTTTTTATGTAAATCAATTTTGCATTGTTTCGGTAATAAATAAAATTATTTATGTAAGCAATAAAAATTTATAAAAGGATTTTCCGTGTCGTCGTAGGAGGGGGGAATATGAGATGCTGCAGGACGGTCAAATCTATTTATTCCCCTTATAATATTTATTTATACAATTAACTAGTCATTCAATCAATCATTCATTCATTCATTCATTCATTCATTCATTATTATAATTAATAAATAAATTTTTTTTACTTTTACACATTTATTGCTTATTAATTTTGATTTTAAAAAAACCGGAAAACAATGCAAAATTATTTATTTATTTATTTGTTGTAAAACGTTTTCGATATTCGATATTAATAACAATAAATTTTTTTCTGTTTGTTTCGATTGTAATTAAAATGATTCTCGATTCATCTCTCATCGATTGGGAAAAAATTAATTAAAAGTAAAAAAATTGCCAAAAAATTTGCCAAAATTTAAAAAAAAACTCGTATTCTTCCTATTATTTCTTCCCAAAATAAAATTTATTTATTTATTTTATTTATTAATATATTTATATTAATATAATTTTTTTGTGATAAAATTATTTAAACGCTTTTTTATTATTAAACGCTGTAGTTTAGTTTATGTATAAAAAAAAAAAAAAAAATTTATTAGTCGATATTATTTAATATGATCTCTTCTTCATGTCGCGCCATATTTAAATAAATTATTATTATTTTTAATTAATAATATATCGGGAATCGTTTATTTAAAGTATATACACATTATTATTATTATTATTAATTAAATGATTTTAAATATGGCAACCAAAATAAATAAATAAATTTTTTTAACGAGTGGCCAAAATAAAAATAGTGGATGGTGCTGTTCGATTTAGTTTTATTGTAATAATAATAATAATTGTGAAAATCTTATTAATTACATATAACAAAACATTTTTTTTTAAGTTATGTAAGCTTATTTATTTATTTATTTATTTATTATTAATACCTTGCTCAATATGATAAAAAAAATTAATTAATTAATTAATATAAATAAAAAATAATATTACAAATTGAAAAAAAAATTTAATTGAAATTTTTTTTTTTATAAATATAAATAAATAAATTGGGGGTAAGATTGTTTGTTTGTTTGATTGATTGATTGATTATATTGTTAGTGTTTGTTTATTAAGAATTAATTCGAATGGAAAGAAAAAAATTTTTCATAAATTTTTGGTGTGTGTTATAAGAAAAAAAAAAGTATATTGAATATAAATAAATAATATTTGTTTATATAATGATATTGTTAAATAATTTGAATAATAATAAATAAACTATCGCACAATATTGTAATTGTATAATACAAATATGGACGTTATTAATAAATAAATGATTCGGTAGTTAATGATTAATTAATTAATAATATATATACATAAATTTTTTTTTTTTTTTAGATTCATAAAACTTGTATTGATTATCATTTTTGTTTTAATTTGTTTATATTGTTCGGTACTTTTTATTTTTTGTTATAAAATAATAATAATAATGAGTTTAAATAAAATGTTGGAAAAAATTTTTGTTTATTTGTTTAAACAATTGTTTAATTTTGAACATGAAACAAATTTTGGATTAATTAAATTTAACAAAAAAATTTTTTATTTCCAAGTGTATTTATTTATTTATGTATAAACAAAGTTTATTAATTTGGATTGAATAATAATAAAAAATTTTATAAATAAATAAATAAAAAAAAAAATTT